CAGCCCACTACATCCGTGAATCCTCCCGCCCCAAAGGTCAATAGTGCCGAGGCTGAGAAACCCCGGGTCAAATTCACAGCCCGTTAAAAGAAAAGGGTGGATTCTATATGTATCTATATGTGTGCCGTGAAAGATCTCTGAGACATGTCATACAGAAGTGCCATCTTACAACTTCGTATGTGATCTTTACAATACAAGAGAAGAAAATGAATGAATTTTTTAAACCACTAAATAATTTGTTCTTCAGAGGCAACCACTGTTAACAGCTACTTATGTGGCCTTTCAGAAATAGCCCCAGTGTGGACAAGCGTGGGCTCTGGTTTTGAGTACTCTGCAGGTGACTTTGCTCCATGGTTAGATTCTGAAGTCTGTGCGTTGGCCAGCTGCTCAGAGACCTGGGCCCGAGGACCCCTGACATAGAGTTTCCTAGATTAACTCCCCTCCCTTGTGTTTTCTATGGCATTTTTGTATGTGAATACAAAACAAATCTGTGCGCTGGAGACTGGAGCGTGGGAAGAAGCTGTAGCAAGTCTGATGTTGGTGAGTGGGAGAGGGGAGGGGTTCTCAGAGGAGGTAAGCCAGGGTGAGAGCTCTATCGCCCAGTGGGTGTTAATGAGATCCCACAAGGGCTGTTTCCTGGTGATGGCTAGTGGGGCTTTAACAGGGAGACGGGTGAATTTACCTACACCCCAGGGCAGAATTCAGCCCAAGCTGGGAAGCTGGGAAAGTTTCAAATTCTCTTCCTGCCTGCCACCTGCCAAGCAAATTCATCTAGGGGCCTGCTTACCATCCACAAATGCAGTTCCAGTCACAGAGTCATCATCCACACCTCTGACTTTTTTAACAAACCTAGCTTTCATCTCCTCCACTTTCCCAGAAATGCTTTAGAGTTGGGCCGAGACTTTTGGAAATTGCCTCTCATCAGTAACTTCGCCCATTCCCGCCGGTCTCTCTCAGTGAAACATTACTCCAAGGTCAGCATAAAAACCCTTGTGAGAGGGTGGGGTTGGGTGACCTGCCAGCATCCAGCCCAGGGTTCCTAAAACAAAAGGTATCTGGTGCCATCTTCAGCCAGACACAGGCATGCTCCATGGGCCAGTCTTGGCGGGAGCGCAGAGGGACACAGGCACTAGGCAGCAGGTGACAGGACCCCTGAGATCACCAGAGGCCTCTGCAGCTCAACTCAGAAGAAAGCATCACCTGAACACGGCCTCAGAGTCTTGTCCAGAAGTGTCCATCTTAGACTTTAAAATGTCATTTCTCCCCAGAGGAGGTCAGGAAGAATCCCCACCACCCTACTCTTTTTCAGTTCTTATGGCTGGACTAGTAATAAAATAGTAAAATTGACACAAGACTAGATTAATAAGAGAAAAACCGTTGTAATATGTGCTCACGGGAGAATTACAATATGTTCCTCAGATCATAAAATAAGGCTCAAAGACATGATCGAACCAAGTACCTTTTCATACTTTGTAGTGAAAGAAAGAATAACCTTGTGAAGAATTGACAGGACAAAGTACTCATTAGAAAGGAATCTAAACACGAGGTGTGGGTATTCATTAGTGAGTAATCTAAACAAAGTTTGGGCCAGGGTGGTAAATTAATAAAGTGTTTATATGAGCTCTTTGGCTCGTAATCTCTTTAGTCATCAGATTGTCTCTCTCGGCTTCCCTGGAGCCGGGAGAGCATCTTTCACAGGGGAGATTTGTTTCCTGCATTCGAGGAGACAAGCAAGGGTCCAGGTGCCCTCCTGGCACCAGCTGCTCATCAAGTAACCTTAATTCAAAGTAATGAATATGCCACTGTGGGATGTTTGGGGCTGTCCTGTCCTGGGCCCCAGCAAGGGATGCGACCAGACTGAGAACCTAAGCAAGCCGTCTGGCACCTGGCCGTGGAGTTGGGACCACCTTGTTTTAGTTCCAAAGTTTTCAGGGGACAATTGTTTCTCTCAAGTAATGTCAGCTTGCTTCACCTCTTGCGAAATTGAAACCCACTGCCGTTTTCACAAAGATCATCTCTTCTTCCTAGTAAGAATTCTGATAGTACGGAGTCAGAAGGGACACAGTTTGGAGGAAAGGGGGGAGGTTTCTAAGCCGAGGTGATTCCAGTGACTAAACAGTGTCACAGCTGGTCTGCGAGACTCTTGCTTTGAGCTGAGTGTTCTTGCAACATTACTTTAAATGGACATTTGTTAGATATTTTATTTTCAATGTTCATGATATTCAGTATAAAAGAGCAGACCCTTACGAGAGGAGGTAGCAGGTGCCCTGTGGTACCTTTGGGTACCACATTTCAGTTACTCTGAACAGAACACATCTGTCTTCCCAAAGCCTCCCCGCCTTCTTCACTCAGTCCTGAAGTCCTACCCAGGCATGCCCAGGTGTCTGAATTCAGGCATGTTTGTGTCCATTTGCTTTTCTAACAGGGAACAAAAGGAAATCCTGAGAGGGCCAGGCTGAGAACCAACACCTCAGGGCCTTTTTCTCCACCATTGTTTTGTTCTCTCTTCTGCTAACCTTTCTGGCTGCCCCTTGAGCACGCATCTGAATAATTCAAGGGTCTCCAGCATTTGCAAAGGTTACCTACTGGCCTTAGAAGAGTTCCTGAAAAGTTTGGTGTCAGTGAAGTTTTTGTTTGTTTGTTTGTTTGTTTTGGGGGGGTTTTTTTTTTTGTTTTTTTTTAAGTGCACTCAGCTAAGATGCTGACTAAAGTTGGAATGGAAGAATCGTTGGGCAAAAGGAGGTTTTCAGTAGCATGTATAAGTATATATCCTCTGCTGTCTAAATGAGATTTTCTAAAATTGGTCTTTCCTAAAGAAGGGCACATGGTAGGCAGCCTCCAGCCAAGTGGACAGAATTCAGGAAGTCTCATTTCATGAGCAAGTTTCACAGAGAGGGCCGACGTGGTTTGTGGTAGAGCAGTAATGTACTTCCTGCTGCACAGTACTCAGACTTGGGAGGCCAGAGGGGGAGACCTGATTGTGCCCCTTTTATTCACTGGGAAATTCCCACATCTCTGTGTTACCACGAGAAAGGGCTGACTCCAGTCACAGATGAAGGGTTGTAAAAATTATTCTAATCTTTGCATTAAATTAGGCGCAAAATTGCTTCTCCATCTGAGAATTACCCTGCATGATCCTGAATTCTCTGCATTGTAAGGCAGGCCTTGAATGAGAATGCCCCGTCTCATGAGGGGGTCAGTGGAAGACTGGGGAGACCCACAGACTTCTCCAAAAGAGGAGACCTGGAAATGGGGACCGATGAGGCAGCAAGGCCCTGGTCATCACACACACTCCCGAGAGAAGCAGGGCTTCCCCTCGTTAAAACGACCTCGAGGTGTGAATCATATTACCATGGCTGACTGGCTTGAGAGGAACTGAGAAAATGGAAATACTCACGCTGCTCATTAGCAAAGGGAAATAGGCAAATGCTGGGGGTCCCGTTGGGTCAGAGCCGCTCTGTTCTGTCGTGACCTGTTCTGCAGAGCCCTCTTCAGGTCCCCTTTAAGCTTCGAGAGTTCTTTTCTAGCTGTTGTCCTATTACTGAGGGCCTTTAGGAGTATGCTAGAAACGCGGGACTTTAGTTAGCATTGTTTAGTTAGCATTGACTACTCTAACTAGCGTTAGGTCCTTTTCGTGATTTAGTTCTCAGTAGAGGCTCACATTTTCTACAGCAGGGTTTCTTCACAGCGGCACAGCAGTTTGGGCCACATACGAGACCAGATGGTTCCTTGTTACCGGGGCTGTCCTGTGCACTGTGGGGTGTTTAGCAGCACCCCTGGCTTCTACCCACTGCATGCCAGCCACACCCCCCACCACAGTTACAGCAACCTAAAATGTATCTAGATACTGTTGAAAGACACAAAATCACACACATACACACACACACACAAACACACACCCTTGAGAATCACCATTCTACAGAAAAAGAACAGTATAAAATAATTTTTGTCCTAAATTACTTGTGCTTTTAAAATAGATCCTAAGGTTTTACACACATTTAACACTTATGTGTTATTGGTTTATTCCCTAAGTGAACAAGAATTTATTCTCTTAGAGTGGGCTTCATGAAAACTCAGAATCTTCTCTGCCCTCTTCCAATCTGCTCTCCCATAACATTCATATGTTGCCAGTAATTTACCTGACATGTTAATTCATTGATAGGTCATTCATTCGTTCATTTTTTCATGCAACAATAGACTTACTGAGCCGTCACCACATGCCCAGTGGCGAGCAAGCGCCACCTTGTACACAGGATTCCTACACATTCAGTAGCATGTTTACCTTCCTCAGCTTGTTGGTAACGAGGGCTTCTGTTTTTGGAAGGCAAAACTGCATCTGACATGGTGGAACATGGTCCCTGGAGTCAGACAGACTTGGGTTCAAATCCTGCCTCCACAGCTTACAAGCTGAGTGGCTAGCCCTGGGCTAATTATTGAAGACGTATGCCTCAATTTTCCCATATGAACATGAGGGTGATTTTATCTACCTGGCAGAGTTCTGTGAGACCTCAGTGAGATCGTGTATGTCAGGTGTCAGTGAAAGATAACTCATTGTCTGCCAACTGATAGGGTAGAATGTATGAATCGCCATCTTTGTGGGTCAAAAACAGTCAAATATTGGCAACTTCCTCCAGTTCAACCTCATATGTAAACCCAAGGTGCAGTATCAAGCTGACTCTGCCTTTGCTCCGCAGAGATCCAGCAAGTAAACGGAATGGTTCTGCCTGGTTATTTCCCTCCATCCCCGCCCTCTCCCTGAGGGTGCATCCCGCGGGCACAGCATAACAGACTTCAGAGACAAAACCGCTCACTGCAGTTCCCAGCTTTCATAACCGGCACATATTTTTAAAGCTTGTACTGTAGGAAATTGTACCCTTCCAGCCGAATTGTGAGGAAATAACCTGAATCTGTAGCAGTTCCTCAGTTTTCTGTTGTTGTTCGTTCCTTGGGTGCCCGTCTTAGGTGGGCATTTCTTTGATGTGTCTATGTTTATGTCTTAGGTCACTCTGCTGATTGCCTTCATCTGTGTGAGAAGCTCTCCATGGACCGGCTACAGTGCCTACAGATACTTTGAAGTGGTCACCATTTGCAACTTCATAATGATCCTCGCCTTTTACCTGGTCCACCTTTTCCGCCTCTACCGCATGCTCACCTGCATCAGCTGGCCCCTGTCGGTAAGGGAGTGGCCTGGCCCTGTTTCCGGTGCAGAAGTCAGGATATTTGCAGGGCCACTGAGACCCCATGGAGTCCTTCCCATCTGCCCACCCCACCATCTTGTACCATCTTTAGCTGCTTCAGCCCTGAATTTCACATTGGTTGGTGGACATCTCTGCCTGATGTCCCACTGCTGTCTAAAACTCACCTTCTATCTACAAGAAGGCTGTTGCCTCTCACCTCCCTGTTCATTTTCTCAGGTGACAGATAATGGGGTGTGTGTGTGTGTGTGTGTGTGTGTGTGTGTGTGTGTGTGTGTGTGTGTTGGGAGGAACATGGAAGGAAGAAGCAGATAAAGGTGATAGGTTTTTATACTGTTGTGAATATTGAATGATAAGATCTGACAGCTAAAATGGACTGGCAGAGTCTGAGGAAAGATTTCAAATTTGCCAGGTTTTTTTCTTCCTACTGTATTATTTTTTTAAACAGCTTTATTGATAGATAGTTCGCATGCCATACAGTCACCCATTTAAAGTGTACAGTTCAATAGATTTTAGTATATTCTCCAAGTTGTGCAGCCATCACCACCATCAACTTTAGAACATTTTCATCACCTCCAAAAGAAACTCCACGCCCATTAGCTATCACCTCCTATCCCTCACCCCCTCCAGCCCTGAAAGACTACTAGTCTACTTCCTGTCTCTATAAATTTTCCTATTCTAGACATTTCATGTAAATAGAATCATATATGTGGTCTCCTGTGACTGGCTTATGTCACTTAAAGTGTTGTCATGGTTTATCTATGTTGTAGCATGTGTCAGTACTTCATTTCTTTTTACAGCCAAGTAATAGTCCATCGAAAGGGTATACCAAATTTTGTTTATTTATTCAGCATTGATGGGCATTCGGGTTGTTTCCACCTTCTGGCTATTATGAATGCTCCTGTGAACCTTCACGTGCAAGTTTTTCGTGTGGACATGTTTTCACTTCACGTGGGAATATACCTAAGAGTGGAATTGCTGGGTCACATGGTAGCTGTGTTTAATTGTTTGAGGAACTGCCAGACTGTTTTCCAAAGTGGCTACAACATTTTACATTCCCATCAACATTGTATGCGTGTTCCAATTTTTTCACATCCTTTTCAACATTTTTTATTTTCTGACTCTGATTTTAGTCATTCTAGTGAGTGTGGAGCGGTATCTCATGGTTTTGATTTGCATTTCTTTGATGACTAATGACATCAATCATCTTTTCATGTGATTTTTGGCCATTTGTATATTTTCTCTGGAGAAATATCTATTCAGATCTGTTGCCTATTCTTTGACTAGGTTGTCTTTTTATTACTTAGTTGTAAGGATTCTTTGTATAGTCTAATTAAAAGTCCCTTATCAAATATGATTTGCAGATATTTTCTCCCATTCTGCTGGTGGTTTTTTGCTTTCTTTATAGTATTCATTAAAGCTCAATCTTTAAATTTTGATGAAATCTAATTTATCTATTTTTCTTCTGTTGCTCATGTTTTTGGTATATCTAAAAAGTCATTGCCAAATCCAAGACCGTGAATAGAGTTTTATATTCCTTTCCAATCCGGATGCCTTTTATTTTACTGTCTTGTCTTATTGCAAGAAATTAGATGTATGTTGAATCAAAGCGGCAAGAATAGATAGACATCATTATCTTAGGAGGAAAATAGTCCATCTTTCATCATTAAATATGATGTTAGCTGTGGGTTTTTTGTAGACGCTATTTATCGGATCAAAGAAATTACCTTCTAGTCTTACATTGTTGAGTGTTTTTATCATGAAAGGATGTTAGATTTTGTCAAATGATTTTTCTTTGTCTATTGAGACAATTCTGTGGGGTTCTCTCCCCCACCAATATTCTATTAATATAGTGCATTACATTGATTTTCATATGTGGAACCAACCTTGCATTCTTAGTATAAATTCTGTTTAGTCACAGTATAAACTTCAGTTTATGTGTAACTGGATTTGGTTTGCTAATATTTTGTTGAGGATTTTTGCATTTGCATTCATAAGAGACATTATTGGTCTCTAGTGACATTTTTGTCTGGTTTTGTTTTCAGGGTGATACTACCCTCGCAGAATAATTTGGGAAGTATTCCCCCTCTTCTGTTTTTTAAAAGAGTTTGTGAAGAGTCGATATTAATTTTTTAAATGTTTGGTAAAATTCCACAGTAAAGCCATCTGAACCTGGGCTCTTCTGGTGGGTAATTTTTTAATTCAAACTCTGCTTGTTTTAGATTTACTCAGATTGTTTATTTCTGCTTGAGTCATTTTCAGTAGTATGTCTCTGTAGAAATGCGTTCTTTTCATCTAAGTTTTCTCATTCATTGGCATACAATTGTTCATAGTATTGGTTTAAAATCTTTTTTTAATTCTTTAAGATCATTAGTGATATCCTCTCTTTCATTTCTGATTTTGGTCATTTGAATCTTTTCTATTTTTTTTGCCTTGATAAGTCTAGCTAAAATTTTGTCTTTGTTGATCTTTTCAAAGAACCAGCTATTGGTTTCATTGATTTTTCTCTATTGTTTTTCTGTTCCCTACAGCATTAATTTCTGCTCTAATCTTTACTTCCTTCTTCCCTCTTGCTTTAGGTTTAGCACGCTCTTCTTTTCTAGTGTCTTAAGGCGAAGCGTAGGCTATTAATTTGAAATCTTGCCTCTCGTTTAATATAGGCATTTACAGCTATAAATTTCTCTCTGAGCACTGCCTTAGTCGCATCCACGATTTTGGCGTATCGTGTGTTCATGTTCGTTCACCTCCAAGTATTTTCTAATTTACCTTGTGGTTTCTTCTTTGATCCATTAGTTAGTTAGGAATGTGTTGTTTAATTTCTACATATTTGTGTTTTCCACATTTCTTTCTGCGATTGATTTCTAATTTTATCCCATTGTAGTTGGAGAACATACTCGGTATTATTGCAATCCTTTTACATGTATTGAGGTTTGCTTTCTGGTTTAGCATACAGTCTATCCAGAAGAATGTATGTTCTACCGTTGCTCAATAGAGTGCTTTGTGTTTTACAGATGTCTACTATGTCTAGTTTTATAGTATTTTTGAGTCTTCTATTTTCTTGTCACTCTTCTCCCTATACATTATTGAAAGTGGGGTATTTAAGCCTCCAACTATTATTTTTGAATTATCTATTTCTCCATTTTTTTGAGTTTTTGTTTCATGTGTTTTATTGCTCTGTTATCGCCTGCATACATATGTATAATTGTCATATTTTCTTGATGAATGGACATTTTCATCATTACAAAATGTCCCTGTTTTTTTCTGGTAACATTTTGTTTATTTGTTTTAAAATCTGTTTGTCTGATATTATTATAGACACCCCGGCCTTTTTTTCTTTTTTTTTGGTTACTATTTGAATGACATATCTTTTCCATCCTTCTACTTTCAATCTACAGGTATCTTTGAATATAAAGTGCGTCTTCTATAGACAGCATATAGTTGGAGCTTTTTTAAAAAAAAATCCAGTCAGACAACCTCTGCTTCTTGCTGGAATTGTTAATCATTCACATTTAATATCATTACCCACTATGTTATTATAAGAGAAATCTCTTTTGTGTTCCTATAATATAAGGCCCCTTTCAAAGTTATGGCACCTACTTGCTTCTTTTGAGAATAAGCTCCTCTGGGCTTTCCTGATGCTGATAATGAACAAGCAAAGGAGAAAGTAAAAGCTGGGGGACATGAATGAAGGGAGGCTGAAAGGCGAGTGAATGTTAGAAGGATAAGCTCAGCTACACATTTTCTAGCTGAGGTCTGTTCAGGCACCTTCCATTTAGGGCTCTGTAAGGTCATTTTTCCTAGTCCATGCCATACTCCTTTTTCTTTGTGTATGAGAATCTTGGAGGCAGGGAATTTCCAATTACGAATCTGCTCTTTACTCAAAAATCTCTGTGGTCTACCTTGTGGTATTCCTTTCTAGCCGCTAAGGTGGAAAATCTGAGTCTTTGATTTTGAGAGTAGCTGCAGCTTAAAAGTGGAATGCTTTTCCAAAATTTAATAGCTGGCTGCCTTGCTGGACAGAACTTCATGAAGGAATGAAGGAATAATTTTTAAACTCTCATTGAAGACAACTGAAAATGGATACACTCTGGACTCAGCGTGAGTAGCGTGAATGACTAGCCCTAAGCCCCAGTTCTCCTCTGACCTGGTGTTTGTTGTAGAGGAGGAAGGATGAGGTAGAAGTGTTACCTGGCTGCTGGATGACCGAAGTCCAGCCTCATCCAGGGCCTGCAATGATGCTGTTTTAATCATGGAGAGTGAATGGCATGGAACTCGATGGCCCCGTGGACCACAGAGGGAAGCAAAGGCTGAGTCAGTCTTGCCAGTAGACTTATTAGCAGAGCCTGGCCTGCTAATAAGAGAGAAGAGAAGAGGGAAGAGAAAACGAAGACAAAACCAGATGGACTTCAGAGTGAGAAAGCGAGCTCCACACACCCAGGCACCTCATAGAAGGGCTGCTGACCTCACTGCGGGCTCTGACTCCTAGTGTGTGGGAGCTGAGCACCTCTCAGGTCTACACCTAAAACTATTCACAGAGCAGGCAGACACCGGGCAGCCACCAAAGCCAGGACATTGTTAGCTTGGAACTTTCTCTGAAGCAGAAGCAAAAGGCACTTTCAGAGCTGGAGCTTCATTTAAATCCTCCATCCTGGGAGTTTGGAGAAGCTCATTTGCTTTTTAGTAGCTTTGGCCAGAGGTCAAGGTACTTGCTCAGCTGATCTCGAGAGTGGAGCAGTCCTTCATGGAGCTCTCTCTTCACAGAAGAAGCATCCTTCCTTTTTGTCCAATTTTTCTCTGCCTGCTGAGCATCTTTTCTCTCTTGCCTGGCTTCATCCTGGCCAGCCTTCTGGCATCTGTTGCCTATGAGCTGCGCTGTTCCTGCCAGAGTATTACCCTCCCACCCCTTCCGGCCATCTCTTTTGATGCTCAATTGCCTCTAGGAATCAGGAGTGGACCTCCCTACCCACTTCTCTGCTTTGTTTTTGCCCCCAGGAACTTCTGCACTATTTAATTGGTACCCTGCTCCTCTTAATCGCCTCCATCGTGACAGCCTCCAAGAGTTACAGCCAGAGTGGAGTGGTGGCCGGAGCGGTGAGGATGCTGTCGGGGAGCCTTCAGCAATGAGTTCATGTTGTGAATGCGCGTTTTCTTCCTGATGGGGACAGTGAAGCCATTGTCTTCTGGGTCCTTTCTTTCACAGAACTGGTACCCACCTTGATCCAGCCACCAGCAGTCTCCAAAGAACCTTAAACTTGGGCCTACAGCAGAGGGTGTCAGGAGGAGAATCATCAGGGCTGTTGGCAAACGCAAATGGCCCCAGAGGCCCAGGCCTTTCTCTCTCACAGCCACTACTTAACTCAGGGGGCAAGTAGGTTTTAATTCACACACCCATTCTGTTCATTTGCTCGTGAGTGCCTCAGCTCTATGCAGAGAAAGATTCTGAGGCCTCTTTTGGGCCCAGGGGAGCAGTACTGTGATTCATTAGTGATATTGGCAATCAGTCCTAGCTTTGCCAATCCTAATTTTTTAAACTGTATTCAAGCCAGGAAATAACCCTCCCATACCTTTCAAAGGTAAAAATTGGTCCTTCTGATAGCCTACGTAGAAGTAGCATGGAAATGTACAAAAATACAGCGCTGTGGGAGCTATATGTATTTATCACACATATACACATATTCATGTGTATGCCATTATTTCTAAAAGATTTATAGACTCCTGTCATCTGATTTCTGATTTAGTGAATTGTTTACAGTTTGATGGCCTATGGCCAGTACTGATTTGCCTCACTAAAGAGCGGGCGAGATTTTTTAAGTGAGTTTTAAGAAAAGTTCTCTGTGTGACAGTCAATCTTTCATTTACACATTTTATCAAAAATCCCCCAGACTTTGGGCTGAGAGTGGGCTCCTACCTGGAACTCCACTGAAGAGTGGACTCTGCCCTCCAAAGGTCAGCACGAGGCACAAGGTCACTCCTGTAAACACTCTTGCCCCTTAAGCACCTCCCACAACCCATCCTTCCATCCCCCCTGCACCCCCATATATCCGCCTTCCTGCCGTCTCCAAGAAGAGGTGTGGCTGCCACCTACAGGTTACCGCCTGCCCACCTACAGGCAGGCTGGCGGAGAAGACACAGAGGAAACCAGTGCCCACCGTGTTTCCAGACCACATGGGGAGAGGCCCACTGAGTTTTACGATTCGGGTTGCACATAATGGTGTTAGCCCTGGAATCCTAATAAATTCCATTTATCATATGCTGCCTTTGTGCCTGGGATCATGCCTGGGCCATGGGGGAGCCTGAAGAAATAAAAAGACATAGTCCTTGCTGATGAGAAAGTGGTGATGTAGCTTAGAAGCCAAAGCCAAGGCACATGAAACAATTAGCAAACAAGGCATTGTCGTCCAGAATAGCATTATGTAGCGATATAATAAACCGTTCAATTATGCAGTGCAGACAGTTGGAGACCGGGATAGTATATAATGTGCTAATTGTGTAGAACAGACAATGAGAGGCCAGAACAGGCTCTAATAGGCTAATTATATGGTGCAATCAGTACAAAAGGAGCCAAGGAAATGGACTTGGGGGAGGGGGAGGTGGGCGTGGGCGAGTGGGGGCAGCCGCTTACACAAACCAGCAGTCAGGCTTGAAAAGAAAACTGAGTCTTGAAAATCCTGCCCTTCTTCAGGCTAATCCAGGGCCATTCCTCCTGGATATCAGCAGTGGTTTCAGGCCAGGCACTTAGTGGCATCATAGCGAGCCTGAGGCCCTTTGCAGGTCCGAGGGCACCTGGGCAACAGGTAGAGCAGAGCATGGTCGCTGCAGCCGGGCTCCCTGGGCTCCAATTCCAGGTCTGGCCCTTGCTTATGTGGCCCTGGGCAAAACAGCTGACCTCTTGTGCCTCTGTTTCTCCAGTTGTAAGGGGAGGGGGAAGGGGAGGGCGACACCAGCACATGTGTGGCAGAGTTTTGAAGGTTAAAGGAATCAACACACCTGAGGGCTTAGAAGCCTGGCGGGCACATGGCAAGTGTTCAGTAAACTTTAGCTGCAGCTCCCAGGGCTGTTCCAGTAAGGAAATGGCTTTAGGCTTCGAATTCCAGACAAGACGCCAGAGTACCTAGGTGCCTGCTTCTCGCTTGACCGTTTGATGGGCCTCACACAAGGCTTTCTTCCTTTCCGAGTGCCCTGTTCCCCATCTACAGATGAGGAGATTGGACGGGACGAGGTCGCCATGCTTGAGCACTGGGAGGACCCTCAGAAAGGACAGGAGCCCTGCCTGAACCTGAAATATTAGCACTGCTAATATTCTTTAAACATGTGCAAATGTAAGACTAGCTAGCAAGGCCTCAGCTTCTGGCTCTTACACAGCTATAAAGCCAGACAGAAAACCGTGATGAATGAAAGGCAAACGATGCTACTACACCAATAAAATCCATTTAAACAATAAAAATTTTAAAACCCAAATTAAAATTTACAATTCCACTTTCTCTTTTTTATGAGTGCAGGATAATTAAAGTTCAGTGCCTTGGCCCCAGCTCAGTTGTAAATATAAACCCAAACACAGGTGCTAAAGTTGCCTAGAGCGAGAAGAGCTGAGGGGTAGAGACCCAGAGGCCCAGCTGGGGGACCTGGGGACAGAGTCTCATGTTAACACCTATGCAAAGACGAGGTGGTTGGGTCCCCAAGCTCCCTCCTGGCCACAGTGGGTACAGGGAACAGGCACAGAGAGGAGAAGCAAAGGCTGCCCGAGGGGGTGGCCCTTGGCCTGGGAACTTTCTCTCCCCTCTCTCCTGTGCAGATCTTCGGTTTCCTGGCCACCTTCCTCTGCCTGGCGAGCGTGTGGCTGTCGTACAAGATCTCGTGTGTGACCCAGTCAACAGGTGAGTCCTGGTTGTCTGCATACAGATGACCTCCGAAAGTTCCCTTTGCTCAGGAACAGGAGGATGGCCTGTGGTGGGGTTGCACGGTAGGGAGGTCTCAGGAGGCTGTGGGAGTGCGGGGGCCCAGGACGTAACCCAAGAACCTCTGCTCTAGTGCCTGTGTCCTGCACGCCCAGGGATGCCCTAACATTTCAGCCTCTGATGGAGAAGCATTTTCTTTAAATGTTTCCTAATGACAAAAAATATGGAATATTGAGAAAACACAAATAAGAAAAAAATATATTTTTAATAAAAACCATCTAGTATTACTCCCTCCAGAAATCATACCTGCTGGATGTCTATCCTTCCAATATTCTCTCTTTCTGAATATATAGAGACATTTATAGAGATATAGATAGAGATATATAGATATACATAGTGTTTTTATTAAAAGGATCAGACTTTATGTCTTATTTCATTACCAGCTCTTTTTCTCCTAATTAATTGTCTACCAAACATTTCCCCCACGTCATTAGGTGTTCTTTACTGTCATTGTTAATAGCCCTATGGTGTCACATCAACTCCATTGTATGTCTGTGCCATGGTTTACTTGCCTCCTATTTGGGGGCATTGTTTTTTTTTAATTTGTTTTCTTATTTTTTAAATTCTTTACTACTAAAAAGTGCTACAACAAGCATCCATATATATATGTGTGTGTCCACATATACATATACACACACACATCTGTTTTTTTTATCTTTAGAGTAAATGCCTAACAGAATTACTGAAAACTCGAACCAGCTATTTTGATTAATCCATGCTTTTCTTTGATCTAGCATGTCCCTTCTTCTTTTTCTTTCTTAAAAAATACATTAAAAATATCAAAGTCTGCACATCCTGTTGTCTGAGTTGCCATGCAGAAGGTTGTCACAGCAGAGCTTCAGTTTCCCGCCAGTGGTCACTGGCAAAAAAGTCACAGGATGGGAGCCAGTCACAAAAGACCACATATTGTAGGATTCCATTTATGTGAAATGTCAAGAATAGAGAAATCCATGGAGACAGAAAGTAGATTAGTGGTTGCTTAGGGCTGGGGGCAGGCGGCATACAGGGGTGACTGCTGATGGGTGTGGGGTTTCTTTCTGAAGTGATGAAAGTTCCGAAACTGCGATGCTGTGCAATCCTGTGAATGTAGTGAAAACTGCAGGATTGCACACTTTAAACGGGAGGATTCTGTGGTATGTGAATGATATCACACTAAGGTTGTTTAAGAAAAAAATGAATGATTAAAAAAAAGGAATGCAAAATGAAGTTAATAGATGTCGAAAGGTAATAAATCTATAAATATTGGTATAAATATATTCCTTAAAATTGTGGGGAAATTGCCAAAAGAAGCAGCTAAACAGTCCAGTTACCTCTGAGAGGAAGCCTGGGGTGAGGAGTAGGGACGGAATCCCCTCTGCGCTATTTAATTTTTTTCCTTCTTAGAAACGTATTAAAAAAGAATGAAATAATCCCAGGGAGAGCGGGTGAGGGGTGGAGGAAAGCGGAGCACCCTGTGGGTCAGACTCCTGGTGTGCGGCGTCTGGGTGGCCCCGCCCTGGCCACAGGCCTGACTGTTATTTCCTTCCTAAGATGCAGCCGTCTGAGGACCCCACAGCCTCCTCCTGGCCCACCGGAGGCCCTGCAGGACGCGGGGCCCCGCCCGCGGGAGGATCAGTGGGCCAGTGCCCTCAGGAAAGACTTCTGAGCCTGTGTTCCTGTGCCAAGGTCCCGGCCCCCCGGGGCCAGCGGGCCCAGGGCCCGGCCTTCATGTTCCACGCTGGGCTCCTGAGCCTGAACCTCATTTTCCAGTCTTCCTTGGAGAAGAGTCCTCCCCATCTGGGAAAGAAAAGCAGCCTCTGGGGAAATCTGGTCTCCCTCCTGCTTTGAGCACCGCCTGAGGGACTAGTGACCCCCCTTAACACAGTGCAGGGGTTTCTGAATACTCCTGCAGTAATCCGCTTCTACTTCGCATTCCTCAGGGGAGTGAAGCTGCCTTAGGTCTGCCTGTGAAAACAACGCCATCTCCTAACTTACCCAGCTTGGAAATCTGGTCTTGAGGCTATACCCCTCTTTCTTAAAGAGAGGCAGGCCTGTATTAGCACTGTGTGGTCAGCCCGTCCCCAGAGAGAGCTCAGTCTTCTTTCCCTGCTCTGCCTTCATGACCATTGTGTGTGTGCGTGTGTGTATGTGCGTGTGTGTATTTTTTAATAAAATATTGACTTGGCCAATTGCAGGATTTCTTGTTAAACTAGTAGAAGCAGTGAAGTGAAAGCCCAGGAGGCTCACGGAGAAGCACGTGATGCCACTTGGGGGTGAGAAGAGTGAAGGATGCAGAAGACACTGGCCTCTCAAGATTTACATACTTTCAGAATAAATTGATTTTAAGAGTGGAAGCCAGTGCTGTTCACGCAAGACGTAGAGCAGGACTCAATAGCACCACAGGCAGTCTTGAAAAAGAAGGAAATTTTGACACATGCTACAGTGTGGATGAACCTTGATGTTAAATGATGTTCAATGAAATAACCCAGACACAAAAGGACAAATACTGTATGATTCCCATTACGCGAGGGACCTCGAGTAAAATTCAGAGAGACAAGAAGTGGAATGGTTGCCAGGCTCGGGGTGGGGGAGGGAATGGGGAGTCGTGTTTAGTGGGTACGGTTCCATTCAGGAAGCCGAAAACATTCTGGAGATGGACAGTGGTGATGGCTGCACAACACTGTGAATGTAATTAATACCACTGTACTGTATACCTAAAAATTGTTAAAATGGTAAGTTTTCTGTTACGTATATTTTACCATGATTTTTTTAAAAAAGCGATACAAGACTTTCTGTCTAGGCACCAAAGTAGCTGAAAGCTACTAGGAGCACGGGGGAAGACAGGTCCAGTTACACCCAGCCCGAGGTGGGCACCGGAGCCTGACGGAGGCCAGAGCCGTATTCTAACAGCTAAGCATTACAGGGCCTAGGGAATACAAGCCGTGCGATGTGTTTGTCTTCTCGAAAGCAGACCCTCTCTGGGACTGCTCAACTCAGGGGCAGTGCCCATGTGTAACCCAAACTCTATACCCACCACCCCAGCTACCAACACTGAGAGGGGGCCCAGTGAGCAGTCACAGGTAGGACGGAGCAAAGATGTGAGAGGAGGGAAGATTGGACCCATGGAGGGAGAACTACGGGGAGTGGGGCCTGCCCCAGGGACCAAGAACCTGCTCCCCCAGGAAAGGGTGTTGGCACCTGTGGCCAAAGCTGGTCTGCCCACATCCTGTACCACAAGCAGCCGGCCGCCTGGCCAGCAGAGCCTCCCTCAGCCTGGCCTGGTCCTTGGGGAGTTAGGGATAGGTGACAGAGGGTGGTGCTCCCCCTCCACAGATGTTTTCTCGCCACCCACAAGAAAGACTGCTGCTCAGAGAGGCTCTCAAAGATGGCTTTGCTGTGGTTCTCTCTCTAGTGGGGTAGCGACAAAACTGCCCCTGTACCTGAGGGCCCTGTGAGGAAGCACACCTGCTCTGGACGTACTGGCAGTGGAGCTGGGAGACTCGAGGAGGTGGCCAAGTGGAAGTGAGGTTAGTGGCAGAGCTGGGATATGAGTTTAGGTCTGGGTATGACCCAGGGCCTCTGGGATGGAGCAGGAACAGAGCCGGCCTGTGCCAACTGGCTTGCCTCCAGGGGCATTTGGCCCTGGTGTCTGCAGATGGGCCCAGAGGAAAAAACAAGTGCCTCCTCTTGAGGGAGGTCCTGGCCTGATGCACCCCTTGTGCTGCAGCCATGGGCTGGAAGCTTCTTTTCCAGACATGTTTATATGCTCAGCCCTCAGCCAAGCCCTCTAACCAGGTTTCCGAAGTGACCCAGAGCTGGCCCACCCACTGTGCTGCCACCTCCCAGCCTCTTCCCCTAACATGAAAAGCAAACTTCTGTTGCCAGATACACAGCAGGTCTTAGGGGCCAGCTTCTCAGCAACCACCACTTCCTGTGTGGTGGTTTCTCAGCTGCATCCTGTGATCTCTCAGAGGTGCTTTGGGGGGCTCGCAGATATTTATATGCAAAGCATATATTAACACCTTAAAATGCCTACAGTCCTGCCACCGACAGCGAATGCTGACACCGCAAACACGCACAGGCTCCCTCACCTTGTGCAGCCGTCAGGGAATGCTGGCCTGTGGCCTCTTGCTGAGGACACCAAGAGTGTGAGGCAAGCTGCTAAAACACCTGCCACTACCTCCTGGCCAGCCAGGACTTCTGGGTCTTCCACGAGCCAGACAAAGCAGTGGGATCAATCCGAAGGGGAGGCTACAGCCCCAAGTATCTCCTGACTCCAGACTGTGGGCTTTTCAAATGAATCCCATCATTCTCATGGACTGACTTTATAATAAGCGTTATAAATGCAAGTTGATCACTTATATCATCATATTTCCCGTTTAACATAATGGCGTTCCATGTATGATTTAGATTGAAAAGGGGGATTTCTCTGCTTAGAAAAAAGCTAGGAAACCCCTACCTTTGATGAAGGGAGATGAAGGGAGCAGCTACATTGGCCTCTGGGCACCAGGTGGATGGAAGGGGCGACTGGCCCAGGCCGGACACCAGTGGGGCTTCCTCATGAAGGACACTGTGAGAATACGGGGCGCTTCTGGACTTTGTAAGAACATTGAAGCAACCATTAGGGTTTTATTGTAATTTTCTATGTACATAGAAAATTATGCAAATTTTTAAAAAGACCATGACTAATTCCACGTAGAGTTGTGCAAAAAGGAAATGTTATAGTACATAAAGTGTACTATAACATTTGCTCAGTTCTGCATAGTGACAAGAGCCAGAATAATGGTCATGCTCAAGGTCAATCTGACCAAAACTATTTAAAAAACCTCATTTGCCAGGCGTGGGCGGGCACTACATGTGGAGGGGCAGCAAGCGCTGCCAGTATTGCCAGTCGCCCAAAGTGACCGAGAGAAGTGGAAATCTGGATTTTTTAAGCTAAACATTTCCTGATTTTGAAACGTTGCCAAATAAATCATTTTACGGTACACTTCACGCCAAACAAAACCTGTTTCGGGGGTAGATGCAGCCAGCGGGCCCCCAGTTTGAGACTGCTGGGCCTCGGGGAAGGTGGGAGTTGGCCACAGGAAGTCAGGGCCAAGGCCAAGGACACGAAGAGGCTTCGCAGAGCCGGCAGCTGCTTCCTCCCGAAACCCTGGTTCAGCGCGCCGGACGTGGTCCCTCCCTGGGGAGTCCCTGGGGTGCCCTGCCAGCAGCCGCGCCTGCCTGTGCGTTGCCATTGCTCCCAGCTGGGTGCAGCTTTCCTTTGGCGAAAACAAAACCCTAAAACGCAGATGGGGGCAGGAACCCCGCGCCGCGCTCCGTCCCCTGGCAGTGCGCGCCCTCTTGTGGCTGGCGGGGAGCAGCGCCGCCCTTGGTCCCCGGCCGCGGGGCAGGCCCCAGGAAAGCCGAGTTCGTCCGAATCCAGGGTTCAGAATAGACGCGTCAATTTGTACATTTTATTTGGACCTCAAGCGCACAGATTAATCATAATCCTCAGTTCACGTCACTCTCACACTTTGATCATTGGTGCACGCATGGCCTCCTTCCTCCTTATTTTTAATAGTCAGCATGAAGCTAGAAATTAGGCAATAACCTAATTTTAATTATAACAACAAGCCTCCCCATCTCATCACCCCTGCCCATTTCTCCTCTCCCAAGATAACCTCCTGAATCTCCCTTCACCACATCTTTGCTTTTCTTAGTATATAGTTCTATTGTAGCTATATATATCGCCTAAAAAGTGCATAAGTATGGTAGTTTATAATTAAATGAAAAGGACACCATGCTGTAACTTTTGGGACTTTATCCACTTCTCATAATTTTGCTACAACAGCCCCCCCACCCCCCGCCCCGCCGCATTATGCAACACTTTACATCTTCTTGGCCTTGTCTCTCTCTTGATCCAGCTACCACTGCAGAGCCACTGCCGTTTTGTTCCAGGGTAATCACGTAGCTGTGCTTCACGCCTTCACTGATTCATCTTAACTGTCACACTGGAGCTTTTGTGTGGACACTGCCATGGGATCCACTCAGCACCCACACGTGTGCAACCTGCACATGCAGGGGAGTTCCTTGCCCTGAGGGGTAATATTGGCTAATAGGATACAGCAATCAAGGGATACATTTATCTTCTCCCAGAACAGATTTTCCTGAGATAGGTTTTATACAGCTTCTCCAAGGACAGTCCCATGGGACCAAGCAAACAATCGCCCAGTGGTGGCCAACTCCATACGTCACCATTGTTTCTGCTCTCTGCTTCTCAGCTTCACTCCTGATACAGGTGGTTCTGCTAGATATGCGGGGACAAGCTGAAAACGTGTGGCCAAATGAAGAGCCTTTCTCAGAGATGGCCACAGAAGATGGCAGGGAAGTATAAAAATACCCCCAATGGGCAGTGCATCCCGTCATCCGCTTTGGTGGAAGTGGCCAGAGAAAAAAATACACAGCCCCAGGGGACTGGTGTATGACTGGGGCCCTTAAGAGAAGAAGATCGGTAAGAAGAAGAGGGGTGGGTGTGGCAGAAATCCACTAAAACTCTCTGATGAGCAAGTCATTTGAATAAGAGGTGTATTTTCTACAAAATAAAAATCCTGGGTAATGAAGCCACTGAATGCCAGAAAAAAGGTAGTGCAGAAAAAAAATCATGCACAGGCACATATATTTTATAACTGAAAGCCAGAAGACTGATAGAGGTGAAGGGACAGGCAGCGTCCGACTAGCTGGGGGCCATAAGGGTGCACAGAACGCCAGATGCAAACACCGGGGGTGGATTTCATGGCTTCTGTGGAGCAGACTTAAGTCTGAGCTGATACCACTTGGACTGGACGAATTACAGCAGTGGGACAAGCAGGGACAAGAATCAAGTAAGGGATTGAGTCTCTAGATTCACCCCGGCCCAGACCCCGGCCCAGAAGGAAGCCCCAAATATTCCTACACTTACTAGATATTGGCTGTGGTTTTATGGTTTGGGGAGAGGGAGGTTTGTTTTCTGGCCTGGACTGTGTGTGCTGCACTTCTGCAAGAACCTGCCCACAGTATACATTCATTGTGACCCTCTTTTGCACTTTGTATAAGAGTCAGTCAGCCGCAGAGCCAAGGATGATGTTTACCCATGAAGCTTGCCAGGCATAACAATTGAAACAATGCCTCTTCCTGGGAGAAGAAAAAGTACAAGGTCTTCTCACACAGTTTTGT